CTATGTCAGGGCAAAGAACTGCTCGTAGAAGTCTCCTCCCCTACTGGCTCGGAAACGCTCTAGCAAACTGTCCTTGAACTCCCTCCAGCTTCGAATAGGCCTCCTCATGTCCCGCCACTGGTACCAAGCTAATGCTTTCCCTTCCAAACACAGTCCTGCTGCTGTTAATTTCTCCTCCTCGGTCAACCCATTGACAGCAAAGTATCGCTCCACCTTGTAGATCCAGCCATGTGCGTCCTCGCCCTCAAAGATGGGCATCTTAAATTTCCTTACCCTCAGGTCTCCCCAGTTTCCCCTCGCTCCTCCATAACATCCCATTCCCCGAGGGGGAAAAGCTCCCCAGTGGTCACGAACTTCCCTCCGCCGATCATACCCCTGCCCTTCCTCATACTCTTCCCTTCATCTCTCCTCCTCAGCACCTCGACGGTAAAACTCATCACTTCTCCCAAAAAATTCAGGACCCCTTCTCTCATAGCCCATGCTCATCTCCTCCCTAGAAAGTGGTTCTAGCGGAGGCATTCTGTCATTCCCATCAAGGATCTCCACTTCGGTAGTCTCCCTCCCCCACAATGGGTTTGGATTCCCGTTTCTCCCATTGTCGCCAGTGGCCTCCCTTGCTTCTGCTGTCTTCGGGTTTGGTTTGCCCTCTAACATCTTCTTCGTCATTTCTTCTAATGTCGTGAACCTTCCATCCATCTTTTCATGGATGGACGCAAATTGATTTTGAAATTCAACGGTTCTTTCTTCCAAATCGGTCTTCAGTTGGCCGCTTTCACCCTCCAAAACTTCTACTTTTCGTCCGGCCATCTTCTCTTCCACGAAAACCGAGAATTTCCCTTCCGGAAGAGGTTTCCTTACTGAAATTTCTGAATTTCAGCCGCCAATGGTCCCAAGATCGACGCTCTGATACCAATTTGATAGGAAATACTTGATTTCAAGTATTTCCAAATCACTTCTATAGAAAATCTCGATGCAAACTGCTGTTCGCAGCAGGAAAAACAGCAAACAGTGGAAAAAAATAGGGAAAATCTGAGAGAAAATTGGAAAAACAACTTGTATTTTACTAGTAGATGCAAGAAAAATAGCTAAGATACAAGGATCCTCTATTCGAGAGGAGGATCGCACTCTCCCAATCTCTAGAATTCGTTCTAGTGTCAAGCCTCCAAGAAAACCCTAATTCCAATCAATCAAAACATGAGAGACTCCCTAATTCCCTCATGCACTTTAATACAAATTATTTCCTAATTAATTTTCCCTCCCAATGCTTGAGCCGCCCCACCCTTTTCCCTTTTGAAAAATATTTGCTGGATGGAGCCCACCTAATAGGTGGAAAAGGGAGGAAGGAGGCGAGCTACTTCCGCCTCCTGTAGAATTGCTGAACCGGCTGGGCCGGTTCACCCAGCACAGGCGTAACAAAATATGGATAAAAATAAATAAAAAATAGATCCTCTACACCATGCATGCTTCAATATCATAGATTCCTATCCACAAAAGCATCTTGTTAAGTGAGAACAAAACCTGATGTTTATTCGAAGTTTTATATATGATGAGCCATATGCTCGTACTTGCAAAACTTCATCCCCACAAAATTCATGAACAAGAGGTCCACCACCGTCTTTCTGTAAGAAAGCCATAAATAAATTTTTTAGTTCTGCTACGTGAAACCTTAAAGAAACAAGAGAGATTTACATACATAGCATAAAATTTTTATGTATTTACATATCTAACAGCTAAATAATTATTTTTACTTCTATATTACTTTAGTGTCCAATCATATCAAAGTATAAACATGAATCGGTGTGTTTTACTATAAATAAATGAATAGTAGTATTTTTTATGTGTTTAGATATTTAAGTGTTATAAAAGTAAATATAAAAATTTAAGTATTAAATATGTAACTAGATAAAAAATTTGCAAATTTTATATAAATCCCCAAAAAAACAAACATTTAGCTCCTCTAAACCAAACAGCATGTAAAAAAATCATATCAACTTCACGAGCAATATAAGAAAATTGAAACATGTCAACAGATGCCATGGTAATCCATTATTACTTATTATATTACCTTCATCCACGCATAAATTCAAATATACAGGCACAAAAACCCAAGTTTATTTCCATCTTATAAACAAGCTATCCCGTCAAACAAACTATGCTGATTATGGATGGCAAGGATCAGTTTGTTTAAGTTATTTGCCTATTTTCTGAGAGCAGAAATCTACCACAAGAAAGGCATAACATGTTTGGAATGAAAACTGTCAAGCTGCTTTCCAAAAAAATTTCCTTTAAATGCTTCTATAGAAAGTACTTTTCAAACTGCTACATAAAGCAGCTTCCTAAAAGCAATTTCCCATCCTACTTCATAACAAGGAGAAGCACAACCAAAGAAGCCCTATATCTATCTACAAACACATGGTGCTCAACAAATTATTTGCCTTCACCTTTAAAAAACGGAAACCTCCCAAAGGATTTTCAGTAGTAATAGTGTCCCTAGGCTGCACAGTGGACACAAACTACCCTGGGCCTGCTGACAAAGCCAAAATTATTCATGCAACTGACACAAAGAAGCAAAATTGCCAGAAGCAAGGCAATAGCAAACACAGCAGAGTCGTAGAATTGGAAGAGTGAACGTTAATTATTGTAATAAACTTAATTATGAACTTCCAGCTAAGCAATATATTTTCACCTCTTCAAAATAATATAACAAAATCATTTAGACAAACCTTCTTTGAGCATGGATCTGAATCATCACCTTCACGCTTAAGGATAACATCGGCTGCAGATTGACATATGTGAACATTTTTGCTCAACTCTCTCTGGATATCAAGAAGACGGGTATGTCTGCTACACGCAATGGCTCTGAGAAGAAGTTTCTCCACATCAATGCAGCTTAATTGCAATGAGAGTTCTGCCTCCTTGTCTGTTACCGGATCGAACACAAAGGTACTGTGCAAACACTTTATCTGTAGATCTTGAGCAGGCTCAATTTTGATAAAAGGAAGGGAGCTAGAATCAGAGATTGCGGCGTTCCTCACCGAATCCAACCAGTAGATGATTTTCAAACCAGGGATCTTCTGAGTAGTTGAATCTAATTCAGCATCCTGAGCCATTTGTGTAGCACTGGTGTTCACACCATGTCCACTAATACCATCAGAGATGAGCTCGAACCGTATAGCATCTTTCCACCTGCCTTGGCGCAGTATTTTAACTTGCCTTAGCACGGTATCCATAACAAGGGAAACACAAAGTTCATGCAGGATATTATATAGAATCATGAAGGGTTTCTCAGCTACAGCCATCCTCCGCTCCAAATCATCCCCAAGCACATAACGTCGAGTTTCCTCAAGTTTAATTGGATCCCCTTTTTCACCCACAAGCAACTCCAAATGCAATATCCTCCACAAAGAGAGATGTCCACGGTAACCCAATGTAAGAAAAACCTTAAATTCTCCATCAACAATAAGAACGGCAGTACCATTGGAAATTTTAACCTCAGAAATTTCCTTAGGAATAGATGCATCAAGAAGCTTGGAACGTAAGACCATTTCCAGTTTCTTCAAAGCAGGTTTTTGCAGATCATCGGAAAGAGCAGGCTGAAAGCCCAAATCTTCTATGCATTTTGGAAGCCGATTGTACCCACCTGTAAGAAGGACCTCTACAGCAGATGGAACATCAAATATTGGGGCTCTTGCTTGTTGTAGACTGTCATGCATGTAGAACAATGAATCGGCAGTTTGGGTGAAGCATGTATCATGGCTAGAAAGAGTTGCTGAGAGTTGTTGACAGTATTGAATCAAAGGAACCTGAAAATGTAGAAGAAAAGAAGCTTACAAAGCAATCAAACTCATACTCTTTAAAGGAGCATAAGTTGTACTGTAATGACAAGTTAAACTTAACAAAATAAAAAAAAAAAATTTATTTACATAAGATCTAAAAGACATAATAATGATATAATAATTATGCAATAATTTAATTTTATGACTAAAAAATAAACAGAATTCAAATACAAATGATATCTTCTGTAAGTTTAAATTTAAACACCTTCAATCTTTAAATATGATTTGCATTTAACATAAATTTAGTTTATATATAAAGTTATAAATTTAATATAAATTATTATTAATTATGTTATGTGTTTAGAAATAATTTACACCTATAGATTATACACAAAATTCACATTATAAATTTGTACCAATAATTTATTATTCATGTTAGATCATTTATTATTAATAAATAGATTAAAAATTTATTTTTTCTAGTATATAATTAAAAAAATGAAATAAATATTATTAACTTAAAAAAAATATTATTCATATCATAAAAAAAATAATTAAAATGTTTTTAAAATATACCTTGTATGTGTTGTGAACTTAAGAACTTTATCTTATTTATTTAGTCTCACATCACTTGGGAACTTTCTATTAGTTTTATTTATATTATTTTTTAGGTTTATATGTGTCAAGAACTTACAATGAGTGATAGGATCATGTAAAAATAGTTGGATGGTGTATCTTTACAACAACAACAACTTCAAGCATTTGTCCCACTATATGGGGTTGGCTAAATATATCTTTTTTCTCAATTGTGTCCTGTTAAAAGTCAAATTCTCGTATAAATCTAATAAAGAAATATCATTTCTAATATTTTCTAACCAAGTCTTTTTACGTCTACCTCTACCTTTATTAACATAAGTCAAATATAATACCTCTACTTTCCTAACCGGGTCATCGGAAGGCCATCGTTTTATGTGAACAAACCATCTAAGGCGATTCTCTCTAATATTATCTTCCACTAGAACTACTCCAACCTTTTCACGCATATGTTCATTTCGTTTCCTATCTCTAAAGGGTAAAGCCACTCATCCACTTGAGCATCCTCATCTCTAGAGCACTTAACTCAATATTTGCTTCTCTTTTAATGGCCAACATTCGGCACCATAAAGCATTACAGGTCTCACCACCATCTTATAGTATTTTCCCTTAAGTTTGAGGGAGACTTTTCTATCACACAGCAAGCCCGGTGCATTCCTCCACTTCAACCATCCAACTTGAATTCCGCTGATAATATTCTCATCTATTTCACCATCACTCTGAACAATAGATCCAAGATATCTAAAATGTGTACTCTTATTAATGACTTGATCACCCAAAGTCACAATCCCCTCACTAGGACTATAAGTACTAAAATTACACTCCATATATTCAATTTTAGATATACTCAAGCGAAAACCTTTAGACTCTAAGGTTGACCTCCATAATTCAAGTTTACCTTCAAACTCCCTCTATAATCTTATCAACAATAAGAATATCATCAGCAAAAGGCATACACCAAGGTATATCCTCTTGCAAATGTCTAGTGATAACATCTATGACTAAAGCAAAAAGATATGGACTTAAGGCTGATCCTTGATGTAATCCAACCGAAATAGGAAAATACTTGGTCAAACCACCTTATGTTTGAACACAAGTAATAGCTTATGCATACATATCTTTAATGATTTGAATAAAAGTGTTATTAATTCCTTTCTTTTCAAGAACTCTCCATAGCATTTCTCTTGGTGTATCTTTAGCAAATAATTATTTTAAAAACTTAATGTTTATTGTAACTCGTTGGAAATAATCTCTTTGCATTGTAATTATGCATTGTAGAGATAAAGGTTACGCACATCACCCCTCCATATGCCACAGTATTAGTGGTAGCTTCAAAAACTAAGTATACCCATTCATTGAAGAAGGGCATGAAACATGTATGGATGAAATGGTGATGTGTAGAACAGCTAGTAGGGATGGCCATCAATCTACAAAGCTTATGAATGTTTCCCTTCTCTTTGTCGTTCCATTTGCTATGGCTCTCTCTTATTTTTCCATAGCTCAATCTCCTCCCAACTACTGCATCTTCCCATCAACAATTCAGTTCTTAGAGCTAGGAAGACAAAAGAATGAGATGATAGGCAAAAGGTAGATATATTGGTGAGCACTTCTTCAAATTTTCACAATTACAATGAAAACTCCACCCTTTGTTTTACTGAAATGATAAAAGTGAAGGAAACAATGCACTCTTTGTGCTAGAAAAAGTAATGTGCATTACTTTATAACATAAAAAGATGACATTTAGCTGCACCCTTCCACTGTTTAAAATTTATTTCACGGAGGTCAATAAGGTGAAGAAAACAATCTCTTAGGGATTTTGCGAAACTTCTATTTTTCTTTATGAAGTTTCTTAACCAAAAAAAACTAAGTATATTTTTATTTAAAAAAATCAATTATTTCAGAAAAAATAAACCGCCGCAAAAGATCATAATTAAGCACATACATTTTTATCGATTATGGAGTTTCTAAAAAAGGATATTTAAAGTGAGGTGCCTTGTTGTTTTCTTTTTCTATAAATGGTACAATTTTAATTTATGAGATCTCAACTAAAATAAGTGCAAAAATAAAGTAGTTGATGAATATTTAGAACATAGATGCTATAGAATTAGTGGAACAAAGATTGTATATATGATATATTAGTATGATGTTAACAATTATCATTAAAAGTATTAGAAGAAAATATCATACTTAAGTGTAATACATTTACCTTTGAATAATTATACATAATAATGCAGATATAAATGATAATATAACTTCTTCAGTTAAAGTTGAATAAGCAAAATCGAGAAGTTATTAGGGAGTTTTGTGCTAAAAAGATATCATGGTGACTTAAATGTAAATCTTTATATAATTGCAAACAAGCAAGCTATTTGTATGGATAAAAAAGTTGGATCATAAATAAATCGTTGAAATCTAACATAAATTTGGCATAAATGAGAATGTCAAGTGGATGTATGGCAAAATTAGGAATGATAAATTAAAAAATGTTACATTGAATGGAAGGTTGGAGTGATATTTTTGAAGATAAGAGGATTGAAAATAGACTTAAGGAAGATTTTTGCAATTGAACCGGACATTGAAAAGCTGAAAATAAATGCTCAAAGGTCAAAGGTTCAACTGAGATTCAATAAAGAATTAAATCATGATAATGAAATCAATTAAACTTATTTAAATGATGTAATCCTTCTGATAATGATGATAAATTTATGATAATACTTAATTATTTATAATTTTATATAATATATCATTAAAAGAGTTTCAGAAAATATTACATTACAATACCATCTCTTTATTATAATTTCTGCTCAACAGATTCAACCACTCCTTGTTTCAGGGTTAACTGGTTCAACAATCAATTTTTATGGGCTGCAAATTCAATTTTTTAATCAGACTGAAAAACTTTGAGGATTGTTTCACAGTCCGACCAATTCAACAATCCGAATTGATCCTATTTTCACAATTATGAAATAGGTGGTTTGGGCATAATAACACAGTGTAAAAAATGCTCCCGCCAGACGAGCTGCTAAAGTTAGTGTAGGACGATTGGGTGGGAAAAATGTGTAGGCCTAAACTTACATGGATAGATGTTGTTCAAAATAAATAGTAAAAAACAATAACACTTAAGATAGCATTGAACATGAACAAATGGAAATTCGCCACTCATGGAATCTTCCAGATCCATGCCAAAACCCTACGTCCAATCTCCCCCAAATCTCAATCTTTCACCCATCTCATAGTTCCCAGGCAACTTCTAACGCCCATTCTGACTCCACCTATTACTCGGAGAAACAATAATGTATTGAAGATCCAACATAGGATTCCAATACTGTCAAGCAACCACCCTGAGAAAGGCTAATGCTGTTTCGAAGAATCAACTGTCGAGCTATTGAACGAAATCAAAACCCTAAAACCAAACAGGAATGCGATATAAGAAACCCTAGCGCTGACCTGAAGGCACCATTTGGAGAGGACGTGGAGTCTTAGCATGCGCTGGCGAGTCTTGACAATGAACTTGAGGAGGTCAATCTTCTTCTCAGAGTCGGATCGCTCCTGGGGTGACTTATGCGTCTCTACGAGCTCCTTCAAAGAGAGATAAGACTCCTCTGCCGCTCGCCGGACGAGGTTAGAAAACTCCACCGTCTGTTGCCCCAGTTCCGCCGCCATCCCGCCGTCGCCTAAGGGTCTTAATGGGGGGACACAGGGAAGGCTATCCCAGCGCCTTGATTAAGGTTGTCGTTGAGTTTATGCTCGTCCGCGGTGATCGGTGTCGGCCGGGTTAGGACGAATTGGGCCAATTTAGCTCCGGATAGAAAACATACATTAATTTGCCCGAAAATGGCTTTTACATTGAACTTATACGTCGTTAAAAAATTATCTCGATGGGGCACGAATCTCGAGGTAAAATCAAATTGGAAACTTTCAAAATTAAAATTGGGATCATCCAAACTCCGATTTCAGCAAACTTACCGTCGAACTGAACGTCTCGGAAATACGAACCCAACGACACCAAATTCGACTCAATTCGAGCCCAAATGGGTCCAAATCAAGGGTCTGAAATGTTGTTGGAAGGTTCGAACCACAATTTGGGTCACCAAACGGTTTCCAAACATGACGTTCTTATAGTCGAATCGAGCATCTCAACGAGAAGAATCCAACGAGCCTAAGATCACTGAATTCCGACATCATTAAGACCTTAAAATGTTTGACGAACGGTACATAATCAAGGGATTCAATATCGGTCATTCGTCAAACCACTCCTCATTTACCCTTGATCTATCACCTGTTTACGGGTCATGCCAATCAAGAAATCTATAAATAGACCCCTCATTTCTCTTGAAGGGGGGTAGAAGTAAGAAGAGAAGAATGAATAAGAGAATGAAGAGAAATAACAAGCTCCTCCACGACCACCGTCGTACTTCCACCGGACCACCACTTGAGGCCCTCTCCTCCACCGAACCATGGCCTGACGTTGGAGTTCTGTCGGACCACCACTTGAGGCCCTCACATTCGCAAGACCACCACTAGAGGCCCTCACCTCCGCCGAACCACCACTGGAGTCCCTCACCTCCGCCGGACCACCGCTTGACGTCGTTGCTCCATCAGACCACCACTTGAGGCCCTGAGCTCCGTCGGACCAACGCTTGACGTCGTTGCTCCGCCGAACCACCACTTGAGAGGCCCTGAGCTATGCCAGACCACCGTCTGACGTTGTTGCTATGTCATACCACCACTTAAGGCCTCAGACTTCTGTCGGACCACCACTTGAGGCCCGGACTTCCACCGGACCACCGCATGATGTCCGGACTTCTGCCGGACCACCACTTGAGGTCGAGACTTATGTCGGACCACCACCTGAGGCCCGAAATTCTATTAGGACACCACCTGATATTCATAGTTCTACCAGAGTACCACCCTACTACTACAGTCTTTCTGACCCGATCTCCTACCAACTATGGTCCTTCTGACCTCTGTCGCCTACTATGGTCCTTCCGACCTCCATCACTAGACAACGGTCTTTTGACCTCTATCTTGTGCCGACTATGATCCTTCCGACCTCCGTCGCCTACTGTGGTCTTTCTGATCTCCACACCAAACAACGTTCTTTCTGACTCCGATCTCTTATCGACTACGATTCTTTTTATCTCTATCGCCTACTATGGTCCTTCTGAACTCCATCACCAGACAATAGTCTTACGGACCCCTATCTCTTGCCGACTACGGTCATTCTAACCTCTCGTCGCCTAATGTGGTCCTTCCGACCTACATCACCACACAATGGTCTTTCGGACCTCGGTCTTCTGCTAACTACGGTCTTTCTGACCCCGATATCCTGCCGACTACGGTCCTTCCAACATCCGTCGCCTATTATGGTCCTTCCAACCTCCATCATCAGACAATGGTCTTTCTGACCCCGATCTCCTTCCAAGTATGATCTTACGGACCCCTGTCTCATGCCGACTACGATCCTTCTGACCTCCATCGCCTATTATGGTCCTTCTGACCTACATCATCAGATAACGGTCTTTCGAACCCCGATCTACTGCCAACTACGTTCTTTCGAACCCCTATCTCATGCCTACTATGGTACTTCTGACCCCCATCGCCTACTACGGTCCATCAACCTACATCGTCTGACAACGGTCTTTCTGACCCCTGTCTTCTGTCGACTACGATCCTTCTGCCTCCGTCACCTATTGTGGTCCTTCCGACCTCCATCACAAGACAATGATCTTTCTGACCTCAGTCTCCTACCGACTACGATCCTTATGACCTTCGTCGCCTACTATGGTCCTTCCGATATCCATCACCAGACAACGGTCTTTCTGACCTCATTCTCCTTCCAACTATGATCTTTTGGACCTCTGTCTCCTGCCGACTACAATCATTTTCACCTTCATCACCTACAATGACCCTTCCAACCAAACAAACATGCCTATGTTGATTATTGTAACTCCCGCCATGTAATACTCTCTATATGACATACATTTATAACATCAAGCCAAGGCCTTCTCATAAGGAAGGGTCTCATTTGTAATCGACTGCAAATACTAGTGGATTCATTCAAACTGGGCTAGGCCCCGTGGTTGTTCCCCTTTTTCAGGGGTTTCAACGTAAAAACTCTGGTGTCTCTTATGAACGCTACACTTTCCCTCTTATATACTTGTGTGATGGATCTCCGTGCAATGCTAAGACGTTAAACTATACATTTCTCTACAACCGCAAATATTCCATGACACAACAAAACCAATTTATTCAAAATTGGATTGCCTATAAGTATCCTGATTTTGAGCTTTTATATAAGAATATTATATGTATATTTCCTTATATTAAAATTAATCACTCGATATACCCAATCTTACTAGCAAAAGAACTCTGTGAGGAATGAACTAAAATCTACATGAAAATGAAGAGAAAACAATTCATTCAAAAAAATTTAGAAAAATATTTGAGAGGCTCAAACTATCAGTTGGCCAAAAGATTCAAAACACTCATTATTATTATTTATTTATAAATATTCAATGACTACAAAAAAGATTTCATTATGAAAGAATAGGAAATACATAATTTTAATGACTCAAACTGTCCTATATATATACTTGTCTCCCTCTAACTGAATGGAGGGTGGTGTTGAACGACTTTTATTGATATTGTAATAATCTATATTTTGACTTTGTCGATTTTTTCTAGAGTCGTTACAACTCAAAATCTCAATTCATCTTCACCATAGTATTTTGATCGTAATATTTTACTTGCATAATTTTTTTTGTAATTTTTGGGCACCAGTAAAAATTCTTAAGAATTTGGTAATTATCCATATGTTAGGATTTTAGGTTTTTCAGGTGTCTATTTTGCAAACCAATTTCATCGATATTTTTTAAATAAAATATTTTATTTTGAATTTATTTTTCTATAATTTTTAAAGTCTCAAACTAATTTATATGAATTTTCTATTAAAATTTGATTGAATTAAATATTATATTATTGTTTATTAAAAAACATCTTTAACCATTAAGACCTTATTAATTAAACCTACCCCTTTTCCCTTCTTTATTTCGGCATAACAGATATATTTTAGAGAGTGAAAGAGAAATGAGATGAGAGAGGAGAGAGGAGAGAGGAGAGAGGAGAGAGGTATTTACTCATCTCGCTGTAAGGAATCTTTACCCTATTTTTTATTTCAAATATTTTAGATTTTTTTTATTTTTTTATAAAATGTATATTTTCATTACCAAAAAATGTAAATAATTTTATATTGGTAAAAATTTATAGTATATTTTTTTGTATTTTATAGATATCGATATTATGAACGTTTTTAGTATTTGTTTAAGTTTTTTTCACATTATGGTTTTTAAAATACATTAATTTTTGTCAACTCATAAATTTATTTTGATGTCTAAAAATAGTGATTTAATTTAATAAAAGCTTCAGAATGTTACTTTATGTAATATTTGGTAATTTTGTCAAATTCTAATTATGTAAATTTTGTTGTCTACAATTAAAACATTTTGACATTTTTTTCACTTATGTTCAATTATGCTTTATTTGCTGCAATGTATTAAAAATAAATATGGATATGTGATTTGATTGAGTAATAGCTTATCCCTATTACTGTTATATTATTATGATAATAATATGTGTGTAAAAGACAATTAAAGATTGGTTTACCCATTGGTTAGAGACTAATTGACATGTACAAGATGGTGGGCCGATGAGTTTTTCTTTAAATACTGTGATTTTGTGCCTTTGAATGCTGTGATTTTGCGTTATCCTCTTCTAATTCACGTGATACACTAATTGGAAATTATAAGAAGATAATTATTGTGTCAACAGGCAAAGAGTGATGATTCTTTTTACCGAGCCAGTGATTTACTAATATTGATACTAATACTAAAAAACACCATGATAATAAGGATTTCTTACTTGTTTAGTGTGATTGGTAAAATGCATATTTTAGAGGAATTATTCTTATTATTGTATATATTTATTATTATTATATGGATTTACTATTATTGCATTATTCTACTGCATTGTTATTATTACCAATTTAGATACTTATATTATTGATTTATTATAATGCATGGATAGTATGTGTACATTCCTATATGATTTTATTACATTGATTTGATTTTGATAGTCTTTATCAATATTTTGATTTGATATTTTATATGATTTATGTACTCATCGATATTACTAATACGATGGTTTCTTTATAGATTTGACACACTCATACTGGTTTACAATCTTACTAACTTTCGTATCGTAGTATTTTATTATTTAGATATTCTGCTACTACTATATTCGAGATTTATTATTTATGCACTAATTTAATAATCATATGAAAATAAATGTTATGCTTTGACCGTTAACATGCATATTGTTCATTTATCGTGCTTTGAATTCAGTTATAAAATTTTTGTGACATATTAGACTATTTAGCTCATTATATTTGGTCGAATGATTTTAGGTTAGGGCATAAGAGTATGAGTGTGAGGCTGATCAAGATTCTTCATGTTTTGTTCTTTTAGTTATTCTTTTATACTCATAACAGAATATTTATGATATGATTATGTAGATCTTGAGTAGTGTATATGATGTTTGATAATAAATATAGATGTGTACATTAATGTTTTGAATTATAGAATCTCTGTTTTGTTGTTTATTACCGATAAATGCTATTAGATAGCTCTAATTGTTATTTATTAAAATAATAATTCTTCCAAATTAAATTTTAGGATATTATAGATAAGCTTACTAGATAAGTTCAATAGTGTCGAGTAAGTTCAATCGCATACGCTTTTAAGAGTCCATCAGCAAAT